TCTTCTTCTTCTTCTTCTTCTTCCTCTTCTTCTTCTTCTTCTTCTTCTTCTTCTTCTTCTTCTTCTTCTTCTTCTTCTTCTTCTTCTTCTTCTTCTTCTTCTTCTTCTACCGGGCATGGAGGACAGGGCAGAAGTCCCTGAACCTCAAGTTACGGGTCACGTCGTTGTGAGACGAAAAACACGGGAGTTGCATTTGTTTCTCTCCCTCTCTCTCTCTCTCTGTCTTTTGCTTGCCTGATGGGGGCCGCCCCGGAGGTGCGAGACGTGGTGCGCCGTCTCTCTCTCTCTCTCTCTCTCTCTCTCTCTCTCTCTCTCTCTCTCTCTCTCTCTCTCTCTGAAGGTATAGAACCAACGCGCACTGCCCTAAACATTTAGAGCTATTTTGGTCTGGACAAAAGCCTGGGGAAGCGTGAATGAACTGCCCCGGGTCCTCGTCCGGATAGTGTTCCCCGGTGTTCCCGGTGGCAGCAAGCACGATTCCCAGCTTGAAGGGGCGCGAGGGCTCGCCGCCGGCCGCCAGAAGCGCCTGCTCCAGGAGCCCGCCCTGGGCTCGGGCGACGTCCGCTGGCCCCTGCAGCGTCATCGCGGAGGAGAAGACTTGGTGGGGATCCTGCAACTGACCACAGCAGATGATCGTCCATCCAAACAGGCGCCTGACCCGTTGCATGCTGGGTGCAAGATGCTGCAAGGCGCCCGCAGGTCCTTGCGCCGGACTGTCACTCGGTGCATTCCTGGCTCGAGGTCGACCTCGTCGCGCTCGAGGAGGAAGCCCTGTGGCGCAGCCCAACGCTCACCGCTAACCTATGCCAACCTACGAAAGCCCTGGCGCGGTGCAACTGCGCCTGCGCAACTGAGGCCACCAGTCTCGTGGTCAGCCCAGCAGAGCAGCCTCGCAGCTCGACGAGGCTCTTTTCAGGCAGAAGGTCCTGCGCACCACCCATCCCCGCCGTCTGCGTCTGGAGAAATCTGGAGGAATGCCAGTCCCCAGTCAGCCACGACTCCTTACCCCAACTCACCCTCCCATCCCTGCAGGCTCCCGAGTGACGAAGCGGGTGTCGGACAGCTGGGCAAGCACCGTGAGGGGCACCGCATCGCAGACGACGCCGTCGGCCTCCAGGACCCTCAGCAGCACGAGATGGCACGAGGCTTTGGCTTGCTGGGACTTCCGGGCTGTGCTAAGCGAGCAGCAAAGTGCAAACGCGCACAGAATCATGCATAAATGCACTTTGCGTTACTGAGAGGCCGGCTGGTCGGTGCCTGAGGGCCGGCTGGTCATGATCACGCAGACAACGCGGCCACTGTGGGCCCTGCTGAAGCAGAACTGGACCGCAAATCTTCAGTGAAGGGCTGAGCGACATGCTTTCTGCGCTTCCCGTTCCACTGTATTGCTTGACCACCACGCAGGTACCACTGGCGATCACAGTGTTCGGGGGCCCCTTTGCAGCTTTCCTGCCGAGGAGCTCCAGCCAGCCCTGCAACCAGTCGACGATCCGCCGGCGCGCTGCACCGGCCTCATCGAAGCCGTCCAGCACCAGGAGGAGCTTCCGGTCGCCTGGCTGGGAAAGTGCGAAGTGCAGGAGGCGGAGGCCTGAGCAACAGTGCTGTCGGGGCACCGCGAAAGAGCTCCCGGCTCTCCGCACCGAAGGCGCGCTCGGCCCAGCACCGGAGCCTCGGCGCCAACAATGCCCCGCAACAACATGTATTGCAAATTCGCGAGGGAGCAACTTTCCGTAACAGCTGATCTGCGGCAGGGCTGCGGATCTCCAGTAGGGTCCTGCTGCAGCCCGGCTCGGGTTCAGCTGAACATTCTCAACCCTTGGTCTAAGAATTCCCAGAAAGGGCAGCTTCTGATTGACCGTGGATTAAGACTGCCACATGGAGATAACCGCAAAAAAAGTCGGAGGCAGCGCTTTCGGAATCGTTGCAACAGCCCCTTCCGTAGCATCAGGCATGCCTTTCGTGTGAAGTCCGCTCCCCATCCCCATCGTTGCATCTTGCAACGACTTGCTTGCAGGGCTTGCGGATGGAGATGATTAGCCTGTCAACCCTGTCCTGCACGTGCTGCGCCAGCTCAGCGAGGGGGATGCGAACGGGTATGATGCCAGCTGCCGTGTCCTGTCCTGAGTCTCACAGCCAGAAATGCTCCCTTTCGAGGCACATCTGCCGGAAGAGCTTTTGGGGGCGCAAGGCATCTGCGAGTCGTGGCTGACCTGGTGCTGCCGACCGCTGGGGCAGAGCTGAGGCCAGGGCTCGCCCAGTCCACCTCAGAGACATTTCAGCAACACAGGTGCGCAGGTTTACAAGCCTTGCCTCTTCCGCACGACATGCGTGTTCACGCATCACGACGAGGCGCGACCCTCCTCACCACCTCCCTCGCAAAGATCGTCTTCCCCGAGCCTGGGCAGATTTCAAAGGTAGTGTGCAATTGCAATACACACGAACATACATAATACAACACATCTTGCATGTATATGATGCGTAATATCTCACGTATAAAGCAACGCGCCCTTTGGCTCACCGTGCACCGGGGAGCCTCCCGGCCCGATAAGGAGGATCCTCGGCAGTCGACCCTGTCCGGGTGGCGGTTGGCCGACATCTTGCCCGGCTGCTCCCGTTTCATTGATTGGGGACTTGGTGTGAAATGGTGCTTTACACGCAGCAAGAGCCGCAACATAAACCCCTATACTTCATGTCACTTGGGAAACATCAAACCGCCCTTGCCTCGATGCAGGCCTCGATGATGGCGTTGGACGTCCTCACCTGTGAGAGGAGAGGGGCAGAGGGAACCCATCGTCTCAAACATCCCAAAAACTAACCACTCCTCGACTCGGGGGGGCGCCTCCCCGGTCGACAGATCCTTCAGCTCGATCTCTTCGGGCTCGACCTGCTTTCCTGGGTCAAGAGCCCGGGTCTTCCAGCCAAAGGTGTCATCCCCGGCACTCCGCACTCCAGACGTTCTGCGCCTGTGAATGCGTTGCGAGTGATGGAGAGGCACCCGGAGAAGGTCACGAGGTCCATGACCTGTCGTTTCGAGGGCGTAGTGAACACGGAGCACAGGGCAAGCTGCACCCCCCAACCCCCAGGCCCAAGCTTTGGAGACCTGGAAGGGCGAATTTTGGGTTTAGCGGTTTTCTGAAGGGGGTTCTCCGAAACTAAACTCCACTTTCCATTTAGAGCTTTACGGGATCATGAGCCGCCAGTTCTCCGGACCTAGAAAAAGACTCTGAAACTCAGTTAAGGTAAAATTTATGGGGTTTGGGCTTCCCCCCACCTGGAGCTGGACCTTTCCAGCCACCGCCGTGGCCCCGCCGGGGTGGTCGGAGATGGCGGCTTCGATGTTCAGCTTGTCCTGGGGGGCTTTCAGTGGGGGGCTTTTTTTTGGGGGGGAGAAGCCAAGCACCTTCCCAAACCCAACCAGGCAGATGTCTGATCCGAGATTGGGGCGGGGAGGCATTTGGGGTAGGTACTTGTTGGGCAAGCATGATGTGGCCTCAACCCCTACAAACCCTGTATGCATGCACAAGCGGAGCGGCTCCCGCACACTCCGTGCGGCTCCGTTCCCGAATGCAGGCGAAGGCTCTTGGGGTTCCGAACTTCCGACCTCCTGGAGGTTCAGGTTCCTGAGCCTCTCAATGATTTCGTTCATGAGCTCTGACTCGCTGGTGCGGCAGATCTGGCCCTCGCAGGAGAACCTCAGCGCGCGACTTGCGATTGCAGTGAATGCAGCAGTCGGTGTACATTGTGGCGGCACGCAATCGTCTCCCGTTTGGTCTGCCGTGCCAAGCAGCAGGTCGAGGGTAAGGCCCAAGGAATGGCATCTGAAGATCTCATAGATGCACCAGATGCGCCTCAGGTCGACAGCGAAACGCCCGTGGCAAGGTCACCATGAAGAGGCAGCAGGCAAGCTAGTTCAAGGCTTCCTCACCGCAGTTTCTAGATTCCAGAGGATACCACAGTACACTACCATATGTCATACGTGAGATTTACTTACGTTCGTCGTTGTCTGCCAAGCTGCGTGAGTGGGGCACACGCCTTGTCAAACCTGGGGCATGCGGCATGCTCATATGCGGCCCAACTTGCCAACCTGCTCCTTAAAGCAGCCCTACCGTTGTTCTCGGAAATCTTCATCCCTAGATGACCTGTAGCCGTATGGATAGGACCACCTTGAACACAAGTATCACACAAGAAAAGATCAACGGCACTGCTAGAGCTGAGCCCATAGTCGCACTGCCTGTAAGCACGAAGTTTACACGACGGCAACAAGCAAAGGCCCCGGGCATCATCACAGCGCCGTACATCGACTCCTGCCGTGTGCGGTAGCCTGGGTTTACTGCTGCAAGTTTTAAAGGGTTTCAGATGGGTTGAGGGGCGGGGCCTTCAGGGGATTATGGGTGGCCTCTCCTATCGATGGAGCGAAGCAGCTTTGGTCTTCAGGGTTGCAAGGATGCCAAAGGTCTGAGGGTGGCACCTTTCTTGCAACATGCAATGTGTGACCTCCTGGCCTTCATGCAACCCCTTTCCAACCGACTGTTTCAAAAAACAGAAAAGGGGAACAAAGGTGGGGAACCCAGCCAGAAAACTTCAAGCACCGCCGTCGGGACTTGGGGCGACAAAAGGCGTCAAGACTAAAGGGCGTTCCTTTTGGCCCTTGCAACTGCACATGCATGTCCAAAAACACCCTCCGCCCACAACAACCCCGCAACAAATGCATCCCCAAAAACTCCAGCCCCTCCAAACCTGCAACCCAAACAAGTTCGCAAAGCTCCCTCGGGAGTCAGGGGCGTGTTCCTGGCAGGGGCGAACTCCGAGGCCACAAGGCGCAAACCCCACCCCCTTTAAGCTCCTAAACTCCCTAAACTCCCCTAAACTTCCCCTTTAAGCTCCTAAACTCCCCAAACTCCCCTAAACTTCCCTAGAGCTCCCCAAACTCCCCTAAGCTCCATGAATAAGCCCCCTAAACTCCAAACTACCTACCCCTCCCCCCCGCCCCCAGTCGGGCAGGCAGCAGGATGCAATGTACTCCAGGGCCATGTTAAACGGGGAGGTCGCGAGGTCGTCCCCACCCAGGTCCTCTGGGCGCTTCGGGGCTTTGTGTCGGGGGTCTAGGGATAGTTTTAGGGTTTAATGGGTTTTGGTTACATGGGTTTATGGGCTTTGGGGATGTTTAGGGTGTCGGATTTATGGAAAATATGAGTTTAGAGAGCAGTGGTGTAGCGTTTGCGGGGCTGATGGGTGTTAGAAAGCCTGGGCCCGCAAGCAACGACTTGGAAGATGCACCAGATGCGAAACCCTTAAGAAACCACGCGCCCTGAACCCCCAAAACCCTAGAGACCCTAAGCCCTCCACCCTGAACCCTACACCCTTTCGGACCCCAAGCCCCCTAAACACTACACGACACCCGAAGTACACCCTAAACCCGAAACCCTGTGAATTGCCCTCTGAGGCCCCCAGATCGTTTCCCAAGGCTCCTATCATACGGCGCCCTTGAAGGAAGGACCCCCACAGAAGATGCCAAATCCTTCTAGAATCCCTGAGCACCGGTTCACTGAGCGGGGCCCAGGCAACGCTGTGCTGGTTGTTTGAGAACCTCAGGAAGCAAAGCCCCGGTCGGCAAGTTCAACTGGCGTCACAACCCGAAGCCCCAAACTCCATGTAGCTCAAGGCATATGTTCCCTTGCGGAGAAGATGCCGGGAATTCTCCCACAGTAAGGATCTCTAGAACCCCATGAAACCCTGAACCCTCGACCCTAAACCCTCAATCCTGAACCCTCAACCCTCAACCCTGCTCCCAAAGTAAGGATCCCCGCTACCCCCCTGAAACCCACTTGAAAGGGCTCGGAAGCCTGCAGGGTTCAGGATTCGGAGTTTCGGAGTGTTTTGGGAGTTTCTAGAGTGAGTGGGTTAAAGGGGTTTGGGAGCATTTAGGAGTGTTTGGGGTATTGAGTTTGTAGGGCTTATGGACTGGGGGCTTTGGGGCTGTCACGTTCTGTGCACACCCTACCTTGAGCCGAGATAAGGTTTAGCACCTGTTTTGTGGAGTCAAATATGAGGGTCTCGCTCGGGAACCCCAAACCTCCATCTGGGCCGTGAATCCGCCTGCCCGCTGCCGAGTCACGTGCAGACATAGTAGCACATCTCGCCTGTCGAAAACGGCTTGTGGAAAAGCTCCGAGAAAAAAGCACTGCGAAGCGTTAAGGTAGGCGCACGCTCACGCCTACAGGCTCACGCCTAAGGCGGGGAGCTCACTTCAAGCCACCCCACCTCATACCACTTAGATGTTCCGCTGCCCTGGGACATGCTTGGGGAACCAGGTTCTCCACCTATCCATCCAGATGCCGCTTCTGCGCAAGAAGCCTGAACGTCCCCAAACCCGCCGAAACCCCGCAAAAAACCACAGAGACTCCGGGAGGGTGCTTTCTCGAGGACATGCCATGAAGCGAGCCGAAAGAGAAGAAACTTGCCATGGGCCTCCCCTCTTCCACGCCTCGACCCCCCCCCCTTCTTTTTAGGGTTTAGGGTTTAGGGTTTAGGGTTTAGGGTTTAGGGTTTAGGGTTTAGGGTTTAGGGTTTAGGGTTTAGGGTTTAGGGTTTAGGGTTTAGGGTTTAGGGTTTAGGGTTGCCCAAACTCGCCAGGAGAGCTTGGGTTGAAACAGGGTAGCACAACTCGTGAAGTTGCCCAAGTACCCTCCCAAACCCCCCCAAAGACCCTCAGACCCCGCAAGCAACTTGCAGGCCTGGGTCTTCCGGGTAGACCTTCTTGGCATGCAGCAGCAGGATTTCGGAGAACTCGATGGTCTCCTGGAAGGGCAAGTTAAAGAATTAAGCGTTGCAAGACTTAAGAGCAGAAGCATGCTGCAATGGTCGAGGTGGTCCTGCCCCCAATAGTGCGACACGAACCCGCAGAGGGGCGCGAATTTTCCTTGTTCGGTGATGTCCACATACGCCACCTACAAAGGGGGCGCTGCTTATATGGAACTGCAGCAAAAAGTGTCCACTTCTACTTCCGAGGGCGGCGCATGACTAACTACGGTGAATGGCTTACACACTGCATCGGGCTCGCTACACTTTGGTAGGAGGCAGGGAAAAATTGCACAAAGTGCTCCACTACACAAACGTTGGTACGACGATTGTGCATCTCAGCAGCAGCAGCAGCAGCAGCAGCAGCAGCAGCAGCAGCAGCAGCAGAAAAATGACAGAGAACCAAATTTGCATAGACGCTTTGAGAGACCCACCTACAGCCTCAGCCCCTTTAACCCTGCCGCCGTCAACGGTTATCTGCTCTTGGGGAATTACGGCTTTACCAGAGGCATCTTCCTCATAAATAGCCGTGATTGAAAAAGAACCGTTGGCAAAGAGTTTGAACCGGAAGCACATCTCGTGAATGCATCCAAGCCACCCCAGTGCGGAGCACGACAACCGTTCCTGCGGCTCGCAGCCTGTCTTTGTGTCGCCGGGCGTTCACTTCGCCGAGATTAAAGCCACGAAGCTTCTCTGGGATGGCGTCCATACCCTGCCGGCCCAGAACACGATGCCCGTAGAGTATTCATGTGGTAGTAGGAAGGAGTCGTATTCCAACTAGTACTGAAGACGGTACAGAGAAGCAGTCATCACGATGACAAGAACAATAGTCAGAGTAGCACTCATGAGAATGGGCGCAGCAGGATAGTCATAGTCATAACACGAAGCTCCTGGAATGGGAAGCCCCCACCCCCCCACCCACCCACCCACCCCCCCCAACCCCCCCCCCCCCCAACCCCCCCCAACCCCCCCCAACCCCCACCACCCCTATCTGTCTGTCTCTCCATTGGAGCTTTGTGTAATGTGTACACAGAGTCCTCAACCCTACCCCCTCACAACGACCGTCCCCTCGAATGGCCTCCACCTTCCCACCCTCCTTCTCCTTATTTCGCCCGAAGCTGGCAGAAGAAGCACCTCTGCCCGGCCGAGGCGTGTCGCGCATTAAACTGAGTAGGTTTAGCTGAGTTAGCAGGTAACAATGTGTAGTCCGAATGGTGACACTTCAATCGTCAGCCGTTAAGACTTAGCAGTCCGTCGTCAGCAGCGAGAATCAAGGTTCGTTATGACCAAGAAGTGAAAAAAATTAAAGGGCCATAGCTAGCAGTGAGATGAATAACAGAGGCACAGACTGCAAACAGTACTTACAGACAATAGCTTACAAATGCTAAGAAACCAAAATATATAAGCAATTTAGTACCTAGCGGAGTAGCAGCTAGTTGCCTACTGGTACTAGTAGTAATAATTAAAGATAGTGGCAGAGTAGCCGTAGTGAAAACGACGTCATAGCAACAGTAGCAGGAGAGGTAACACCACATCTGGAAACGCGGGGCGCCTGCACCCGCCCATGCTTCTCCGCGGTCATCCACATGTCATGGCGCTCCTGGGCTTTGCACGTGCTTGCGCATCTTACGGATATTGATGTTCGGGAATTTCGGAGTCACAGCCCTGCGATTCTGGACCTTCGGGTCGAAGAGCAGCAAAAAACCTCAAAACCCCACGGCAGCAGAACCTCTTGACAGAAGTAATGCCGGCTTGTACCCATTACCCGGAAAAAACTCCCTGCCACAACAAGGCCTGTGGCCACGGGGCCACCCCCTCAGAATCCTATTTCGGGCCGGCTGCGTCGCCGCTCTGCCAGTACTTCATGCGCAGGTCTCCCCCTTCACCTCGAGCCAGGGCTGGCTGAGCTCAGGAAGCAGCTCGTGCTTTAAGGCGGGCCCGATGACCCAGAGCTGCGCAGGCGAATTCTGTAAGGTTGTTTAATGCTTGGGCTGTGCCTACCAGTCTCCAGAAAACATGTAGCAAGGTAAAGCTCTCTCCACCGCTAGGCACCCGACACAGGATCCCTTGAATCGTCATGTGCTCCTTGGTGCTGGCGCAATTCGAGAAAAAACAAAACGACACCATGAACAAGATGTGCGCTCAAGTCAAAAACCTCTGGACGTCCGAGCTTCCACGGGGACTCCTCCAAGGTGGACGCCCTCTCGGCACTGAAGCGTGCCTCCTTCGAAGATCGACTCGGTGGCATCCTTTCGGAGGGAGCGGGTGATCTGCTCGACATCCTCCTCGGAGAGCTCGACGACGCGCTCGCTGCCTTAGGACAGTTTTCCTTCTGGCATGGCATACGAAAGCACAGACTTGCGACACTGATCTCAACAATACCTTAGCAATTCAGACTCCACATGCTGCTGTGCCGACTAAACAAACCAGGGACTTTTACAAATAATCGAAGGCCAGGCAGCTCGTGCATTTCACCTTGGCTCCAGCATAGGCCCTTTAGGACCGTGGGTTTCTTGGTTTAGGGTCTATACAGTAGAGGGCTTATAGGGTTTAGAGGCCCGATGTTTTCCAGGTGCCGGTCTTGTGCTTGCACGAGATCTTCGAGGATGTTTCAGCTGGGCCCCCCTGCGATGATGAGGTTCCCGCACACGTCGTACATGTTCTTCCGGCCGGTCAGGCCCTTCCGCTCGGTGGGCTCCTCCATCCAGGCCCGGTTCTCCTGCGCCAGCAACGTCAAAAAGCACACCTCTCTAAACACCCGGAAAGAACACCCTAGAAACCCTTTGAACAACCTAAGTCCTAGCCCCCATTCATCTAGAATCTACACGTGATCTTTATGCTCGCCACAAAAAACCGCCCTTTGCTCTGACAAAATGGGAGTGGGTGCTATTTTGACATGTGTCTTTCGGGTGAAGTCCCAAAAACCTTGCCCTCAACCAGCTTGTCCTCCACAAGGGCGCACACATCCTTCACGCGGATGCCTTTCGGGACCTGCACAGGGAAATCCATACTACGCTCTCCTTTTCTCGGTCCTTAAGCGCCAACAATGATCTGAGAAACAGCAGCTGGGAGCGCATGCTAAAAGTATCTAAAAGTCCTTCAAAAGGGGTATATTTTCCTCCATTCCACCACTTTTTTGGAAGTGTTGAGCATTTTGCGGCAGTGAAATGGGAAACTCCACTGAGCATGGTGAAAGGCAGGCGCCACCGAGTTCGAGCTCAAGGCTCGAATATAGAATCCAGCTGGTACCACGTAGAGCTACCCCTAAGCACTTTGGGAAGCTCCAACCCGGTCCATCACCCCAAGCAGCCGGTCCCAAGCAAAGCCTCGCCATGTGGCCCTGTGCCCCAGTCGAAGCAAACCGAAACCTGCAAGCCTGTCTAAAAGCTGCGGAGGCCTGCCATGCCGGTGGCCCCTGGAAGAGCAGCGCACTTGGTTTGCAGAGTATCAGGGGGGTATAATGTGGGAGGGGAGGGAAGGTTGGGGGATAATTCAGGAGTCGTTCGTTTGGCGCGCAGGACGGGGCAGAGGCGTCTTTGCTGATGGGTGCGTGGGGGGAATGCATCCTCGAAGAGAGAGAGTCAGCCCCTGCACAAGCCCCTGGAAGTCCTGCACGCTCTCCTGCGCAGCCTCTGCTTCCGGCTGCATTTCCTGGATGCCGAGTGTTACCGTCTTCTGATATCTGTCGCCTTTCGGCGTACTTAAGACTGCCCCACAACAGTTCGCGGGCTTCTGGAAGCGCATAGGATGCAACATGAGGCAACCTACAAGCTGCAGGCGTAGGCTTCTTGGAAAAAGAACACTTCTCCCGGCTCCTCCGCCGTTGGATCCGCAGAAGGACTAGTCGCTGGCTGTACATCCAGTGAATCCAGGGGCCCTGCAAAGCATCTAGCACAGAGAAAATGTGCCGCTCTACCACTGCCACCGCTTCTGACTGTGCGAAGACACCCTGATTTGCATGTCTGTCATTCATGGTTGACACTGTGTCGGGCCCTAAACTTCTCCTAAACCCGGAACCTGCCACCGCTTCTGGCTATGCACATGAAAAGGCTCAGATGAAGCTGCCAAGCACGAAAGAAACCTCTCAGCAACATGAGTGGGCCTTCTTGTTCTGCACCGGGAGCCTCCAGCGCGGTTCGAGGCTTTCTGCAGAAGCTTAGGGGGCTCCGAGGCTGAGGATTTCAGGTTTCGATCAGGCTTGGGGGGCCAGCCCCGAAATCGGATCTGGAATGCCAAGCATTCAGGTGCACCAAGGCATCGTAACGGCCCTTCTTTTTCTTCCTAGGTGAGGCACAAAAGCAGCCCTGAACCCCTCTTGAGGCACCTTGCACTGCCCCTCACCCCGGAGCCGCAAGCGACCCCCACTCGCCTCGTCCAACTCTGCAAGCATGGAGGATGGGTCTTCTGGCCTGCGGCTCGGTGCAATTGCACAGAGAACCTCCAATCTGGAAAGTCCCGTTACACATAGTTCCTGGCCCCCACAGTATCGGTGCCCTGTCTGCTTTGGAGAGTGGAGCGCAGGCCTGCTGTTTGGGCTGCTGTCTCTTGTGTCACTCTGCACCTACACCACAAGGGCCTCCGCGCCGCTTCCATTGCTTCGAGGAATGGATTCGACGCCTTCCGCGCGAGGCTCAGGAGGGAGAAACGCTCAGGCGGGTCGAGAGAGGAGCGGTTGAGGGTTTGGGGCTGCAAGCTGAGGGCGCGGGCTTTCACAGCAGGTATGGTAGAGGCTTGTAGGGCCTAGGACAACAAGAAAATCGTAAAGGGGCCTCGAAGTTGATGCCGTGCTCCTCCGACCTCATCCGCTGCAGGCTCGCCTCGTCCTCGCAAGTGCGCGACAAGGGAAGAGCCTTTCCGGAGAGCCTTTCCGGAGAGCCTTTCTGGAGAGCCTGTAGAGAGCCTATACCTAGACTTTACTTCACTCTTGCTCAACTAAATGCTACACTGCACAATAGAATACACTTTGCTACACCGACTATTGCAGCCCGCCGCTACGAACCTTGACTTCTACAGTCTGACACATAGTGAACATTTACGTAAACTGTATCTTGTGTGGTGACGTTCTACAAGCGACGTGCAAGTTGTAGGAGGCAGTTTGCCTGACACGCGGTGAACGATTCTCGTAAACACTTCAAGGGTCTAAAGGAGGGACCCTTTTAAGGTATATACAGGGGTTATGTAGGGGAATAAGATTAAGGGTCCCTTCTAGGGGTCACTCCTTATACCCCTCAATCTGCACCACGCCGCACACTATTTCTCTGGCCATATCCAGCCTCACGAAGGGCTTGGATGTGGCGCATGTGGTCTGCACCGTCTGCCTGCAGCACTTCGCGCAGAGACACATGGCCACTGTCGGCCCAACCCAGGCCTTACCAAGACGAGATGGGTATGCCGGGTATGCCATACTTTCTGCTCTACCCCACTTGAATAGGGACGAGCTGGAACACAGCGCACTCTGCATAGGCAGACCAAGACATACGGTCCTCCAGGGCCTAGCTTGCGCCGGAATATGCTTCTTGGTTAAGGTTTAGGGCTTAATGGTTTAGGGTGATGGGTTATGTCTGCCTGTAAATTGTGTACGCGAAGACACTGAATACACGGTGTCCTACTTTGCCGTGCTCTGCCTCAAGCTTCGTGAGCTGTTGGAGCTGCTGGGAGCAGGCGGGGGCAAGCTCCTCCGCTGCATCCTGCACCGCACTCGCGCCAAAATTGTCGCGAAGGAAACGTTAGAGGGATGAGAGCTTGTGTGTCCCAAGTGTACAAGAACAGGGCGTCAAAAGTGGAGACTCATGGGTAGTAAGTAGTCGCAGCCTTGTACGAGCACAACAAAAACAGAACTTTGCCATCTTCCGCGTCTGTCACTTGCAGACTGGCCAGGAAAAGTGACAGGAAGGGCCTGCACCAGCGTCCCGAGATGCTGAACCTGCAAGGCATTTCTGCTGAATTCTGCCGCTCAAAAAAAAAAAGAACACTGAACCCAGCCCCCTAATCCTTTTGGTGATGGGCATCGGCCCTTGCGGCCGTATTCTTACCATAGAAGGCTTGGGAACACTGCAAAACCATCCCCACGGAACACGCCTGGGTGCGGAGGTGGAACATGCCCCGCATCATCTCTGCCACTTGCCCTGAGAGGCTTTCCCAGGGTCCGTTGAAGCCGTAGGGATTCGGTGTTTCGCCCATAAGGGGAGAATTGGGTTTGAGGCCTAGGTTAGGGTTCAGGCAGCAGACATTCACACACAGTGAGGGTCCACGAATCGCTGCAGGGGCGCTGCGGAGACTCTGAGGGCGTCTGCCCGTCCCCGCTTGGTGAAGCTCCTCATCTGTGGACCTCTGCTGCGGCACGGATGCAAAAGCCCCCGACCCTCGCACGTCTGCGTGCTTCAGCCAGCCATCTTGACTGTGATGCTGTTCGGGCCGTTCATTAACGCAAGTGTTACCAGGATAAGAGAACCATCTTGTCTTCACCACGTATCCGCAAGATCGTCACTCAAAAGAGCTTTTGGACCCAGAAACTCTACAACCCGCCCCCTCCCCCATAGTCAGTATGGAGTGACCTCAACTCGGCTCCTTAAACAGCAGGCCCGGGCTGAGGGCCCAACGCGGAGCCGCGGAATCCAGCTTCGGGATGGCGCGGCACCTGCGGTCCCGCCTGCGAGGCGAGCCCTTCTTTGGGAAAAAGGCGGCGGTACGCGACGGAGGTGCAACAATGGGGGGGGGGCTTTAAGCGGAACTTTGAACCTTTTCGGGGAGTGTTCTTTAGTAAGGGTTCTTCGGGGCTTTGAGGGGTTTAGGGGGGGCCGGTGCCTCCGCCGGTTCGGTGCCGTTCGGCACGCCAGGAAGGCTGACCTGGCCAGGGTCTTCTTGAGCCAGCGAGTTCCTTCGGGTCCCTTGGCCTTCTGAAAAAGGGGGAAAAGACAACAAAACCCGTGGCAGCAGCGCATGGGAAGAAGAAGGCTCCATCGCAAGAGCCGGCAGGCCGGCCTCCAGTCCAAAAGTTTTCGGCGGCTGTCAAGTGGCATATACCAATCTGAGATTCCTGCTCTCAAGAGCATGACGTTCACATTATCAAATGGCTGTGCGGGACACGATGCTTCACAAGGTAATCCAGCAGCAACCAAAGGCAGAAAACATGTTCATGTCTTTCCCCTTGCACCCAAAAGTGCACGAGCCGAAACAGGCAAGAGCCCCGAGAAAGGCCCCTCAGACACCAAGGGAGCCAAATCTTGAATCATACCGCACGATGCCACCACATCTGCGCATCTGATACTACACTTATGCAACCTACTATACCCCTACTCATCCTCTGCTCTACTCTACCTCTATGTTTTGTACTACTGAAATATGAAGGGCTCGGGCCCTGGCCGAATCCAAGCTGCTGGGCTTCGGGACTGCTTGCGGGGGCAAACAAGGAAAGCCCAAACGGCTGCAAGCAGAGACCATGGGTTTCGGGCATTAGGGTTTCAGGGTTATAGGGTTTACCATATACAACATCGAGCTTTCAGAACGTCGAGGAGGAGGGTAGAAGAGTTGAATAGATCAGGGTGTATTGTATGTGTATAAACGCCGCTCCTCCTTAGCAGACTCTCCTTGGCCTATCTTGGTGACGCTTGGGCCCAAGTACTCCGCCGTCCTTTGGCCCCAAACTATCACGACCACGAGTTTCATGGGCTGCCTGAAGCTCAAACGGCACAATGGCACAGTTCAGCTAGGGGAAGAGAACAGGGAGGAAACGACGAAGTTACCGCACGATGTCATGCCGGAAGCAGAAGTTCAGACACAGGCTCAAGACCATGTCATCAAGAACGGCTGGCCATGGAGCAAAAACACGGCTTTTCGCGATGGCTGCTTGTCAAGGTCCGCACCGGCGCTCAGTCTCCCAAGCATTGTTCAACAAACAGGTTTAGGGTTTAGGGTTTAGGGTTTAGGGTTTAGGGTTTAGGGTTTAGGGTTTAGGGTTTAGGGTTTAGGGTTTAGGGTTTAGGGTTTAGGGTTTGGGAATTAAGGGTTAGGTTAAGGTTAGGGTTTAGGGTTTAGGGTTTGGGGTTTAGGGTTTAGGGTTTAGGGGATAGGGGATAGGGGATAGGGTTTAGGGTTTAGGGTTTAGGGTTTAGGGTTTAGGGTTTAGGGTTTAGGGTTTAGGGTTTAGGGTTTAGTTTCGCAAACGAACAGTCTCGCTGTGAAAGCTGGGAGAGCCCGGATCTGATTTGAAAAGGGGGAAGCCTGACGCAGAACTCTTTTTTGCCTTCGCCCACCTTCGCGAGGCAACGCCTTAAAGGAAATTAGGGTTTAGGGTTTAGGGTTTAGGGTTTAGGGTTTAGGGTTTAGGGTTTAGGGTTTAGGGTTTAGGGTTTAGGGTTTAGGGTTTAGGGTTTAGGGTTTAGGGTTTAGGGTTTAGGGTTCAGGAAAGCGGGACGAGGGTACTCAAGCGGCCTTGCGATGGCCCAACCCGTTCATGTGTCCAGGCATAACTTGTAGGGCTTAGTGTTTAGCAGGGGTCTCCACACGCTATACTTGCATCTGCCTGCCGACGCATGACGAGCTGAGGAACCAGGACAGCGAGGCAGCAAATCTTCGGCGGCGCACAACAAAATGCATGTGCGCTGTTCTACGGTTGCTGAGAGAATGGTTCAGCGAAGCAAACATGCAACACTTGTCACAACAGCCTCCTCGACCACAGCAACTCCGGATCGAACAAACGAAGAGAGAGCCTTCACAAGCAAAGCTCTTTACAGCACATCCGGACTGGCACACGGTGGCAAGCTGTCATTTGCTGCCAAACATGTACCAACGAGGAGCACCCTGCATCCATCGGGCTCTTGGCCCGGAATGAGCGGCGATGTATCTGAATACCGATACCATCCGTGGTTGTCCACACCTTCGGTGCTGCGGCGAATCAACGTCTTAAGCGAAGGGTCAGCAACTGTGCCAGCTTCTCGTCTTTTGCCAAGCTGAGTATCGGAAACATCCCATACCTAAACGTTACATATGCGCCGTGCTCCAGAAGGCTTGTCACGACACCCTGTCCGACTCCCCCGACTCCTTGCCGCTGCCCCCACGGCCAAGGCGCTCAGAGAGTCCAGCACAAACATCAGTTCCCACAAAGAAGCTTGCCCCTCTTTGACGAGGACTTGTCGACTACGGGTGTGTTCAAGTGTTCAACACAACTTGATGATGTGCTTGCATCGTCGGCTCACCGGGCGCTTGGCTGCTCAGGCGCTCCAACTCCTCCTCTGCATCTGGTGCTGCTAGATGGAGGAACTCAGGTGGGCTCAGTTGACAGCCATTGACAGCCTATGTTTGCATATGCATCTGCCGCCTCCCAACGGAGGGAAAGACAAGTCTTGTCGAAGGGAGTCTGTGTGCAAAGCGGGCATAGGCGCCCAGCGCCAGGAAGCTTCACACCCTGGCACTGAACACTGCCTCCATGAGAATGCTCACGAAAAACTCCGTGGTGGCTTCGGGCCACTGCATGGTCCAGTCTTGGGATGAGGTACTCTGAGCAGCTTTCCCACTCACGGGCTGTCCCAGATTTGTCCGAAGAGCTTCTGACAGGAAGCACTGGCGCCAGAGCCTACGAGTCTCAAGAAGCGATGTGTCTTTCGGGGGCGCGTCCTGCTCAACACCGCAGCTGACGCTGGCGCAATGGATCGCGCGAGCGGCCAGGCCTCTTGCTCTGATCGATCTGCAACCTGAACATGAACACGTATATCGGGGGCAGTCCTTGTTTGGAACACGGATACCGAAGGTACTGGCCGTGTCTCGGATGCGTCCGGAGCCCAAGGTTTGTGAGCTCTCGCACCAGGCGCTTCCGGACCTGAATCTTGGGATCTGGCGAGCACGTCATCATCTCGTCGAGTTTTGCTGTCCAGCTGCCAGGATATCACAATGTCCTGACCCAGTTCAGGCAATGGCTACTGCTACAGCCGCTACTGCAGACTCCCCACCCATTTGCGCGCAGACGTCGCGTGTGCATCATTTCTCCGGCCTGTGCACCCTTGTGATCCATGGCAGCGGGGCCGGGTTCAGAAGCGCCGGCTTCTCCGTTCCTGGGGTCGGATCAATAAGCTGCAAATTTCACCACTGCAACAACCCCAGCGTTGAAAGAGCAAAAAAGGCAGCGTGTCAACTATTTCCTGACAGGCTTCGGCCCTCGGCTGAGCCAGAGGCTGCAGATTCGCCTGCAGCGTCTCCATCACCGCCGCCGGCAGGACCAGCTTGTCTCTTCGTGACCAACCAGAATCTGGAGCCTTGCATGCCCACTGACGCGGAAAGTCGGAAATTGGGACTATATTTATTGGGG